TTTCCCCCTCCCCACACACCCAGAATGTCGGTCTGTGTCTCTCCCCTCCTCACCAAATCCCCCCACATGACGCCGTGGACAGTCGGTGCCTGTCATTACCAACTACTACTACGAACTCCCCCTCTTCCTCCTTACCTTAACCTCCAGCAGCTGTGCTCCACTCTTGCTGAGGGCCTACGACCTTAACAACTACACTACACTGCACATTAAACGGCTCCAGCCTGGGCCCCTCACACAAGTACTGGCTGTACCCCCCTGATGGTGGTCCTGGCTGGGGGTTCAGATCATGACCCCGCCCAGTGCGGCTCACTGTTCTTGCTGGAGGTTCTGATATGAGGAAGCAAGGCCCTGCCTCAACCAATATGGCCACCTCCACACAGAGATATGCAGAACAGGACATAAAGGGAATTTATCAAAACCAGAGCAGATAAAATCTGGAGCAGTTGTCTATGGCAACCAATCATCTTCTACTTTTCAAACCTTAACTGAACAAACTGAAATGAGAAGCTAATTGGTTACTATGGGCAACTGCACCAGATTCTTTCTACTCCAGTTTTGATGATAAATCCCTCCCCAATGGTGTCAGTAATGGGAAAAGATCAGCTGAAGTTGGACCTCATACAATTGTGGGGACTAGTCTTTTGTCTTCTGCTAGTCCTTTTTTTTTTGTTTTTTTTTGTTCCAGATTTCAGCTTCCAGAATTCTGTTAATTTTTAACCATTCCCTACTTTATAGCTCTAGTTAAAAATAAATACATTTTGGCTAGAGACCCCCTTTAACCATAGTAGCTGATAAGACATGAGCGTAGTTTTTTATTGCTGTTACACAGCCAAATGGTGAATTTTCTTTGGCACGGTTTTGTTTTCCTCTCTAAAGTTATTAAATCCTATTTTATTTCTCGGATCCAATTTAACCCTTGCCTTGTATTTTTGTATTGCAGACAATATTAACCGTGTTTCTAAGCAACAATGAACAAATATTAACTGAAGTCCCAATAACACCGGAGACAACGTGCCGAGATGTGGTGGAGTTCTGCAAGGAGCCGGGGGAAGGGGCGTGTCACCTGGTGGAAGTTTGGCGAGGCAATGGTGAGTATTTTCTGCTAAATCGTGGCATCTTTTATCATTTTAAAATAAAACTCTACCAGGTGGATTTCTATTTACTCGATAATATGGAGAATGCAGTGTGAAGTGCAGGAACCCCCAAAACCTTCCAGCTGGTTGGAAGATAATTTTAAGCTAAAACTTTTTTGGTCATTTGGTTGTAGATAGACTAGCTTTTGTCCATGTACCTTTTTAAATATTTAGTGAATATTTGTTCAATCCACCCCGTCTATGGGAAGCCATTAGAAATATGACTATGCCTTGTGTAATGCGTAAGGCAGCCCATTTATCTGGAATGGGCTGGCAGCTCAACTTAACACACTATAAAACATATTATATTATAGTTTATTACTTTGTAACATGCAATTCCATTACTGTGGTGTGGGTGCATTGCTCACTAGTGTAATAGACCGTTGGGGTGCCATTTGTAATGTGTGAATGTGCCCTTAAAGTGACCCTGTCCCATTTTCACATGTAGAACGATAAGCCACCAGCACACGAAAGGTCCACTTAATCATCCAGGTTTATTATTTATTATCCCACCTCAATAACCACTCAACCATCACATTCTCAAACAATTCATCCCCCCACAGCTACCTCCTCATGTATCACTTGCCCATCCCTTTTAGATTGTAAGCCCTCACGTGCAGGGCCTTCCTTACCATCTTGTCTTGAATTGTATAGTGATTGTAATGTCTTCCTTTATATTGTAAAGGGCTGCACAAACTGTTGGCGCTATATAAATCCTGTATAATAATAATAGTTAAGGTCAGATAAACATGGTATTGCATATAGATGCAGCGTTTCAGAACCTTATGTGGTCCCTTCATCAGGCAAAAAGAAAGTGTGACAACCAGTGTAACCAGTGCTTGTATATACAGTGACAAACAAGAAACCTATTGATGTGTACTGCCTTCCCCCTGACATCACAATGATGTAATATTCCCGCCAGTTAATATGGAATTGTAAACTGACTTAGCACAATTGAGTATAAATACATGAATATAATGCATACATTCTAAACCCGAAATTGCATGGACATATGAATTCAAATGCTTTGTTGCAATGCTTGGGGGGTCCTCTGCCTGGAATGTGGAGGCTCATAAAAGACCCGTCGCACATAAGTGTCCCATTTCTTTCTCCCTTTTAAACATTGTTTTGTACCTTACTTGGTTCTTCCATTGTCCCAAATACACCACTTTCTATGTGGGATCAAACTGCTTGGAAAAGCTGCTAGATGCCACCATGTTTATGATGTTGAAGGCCATGGTATTGTCATGTGACTGAGGAAATTTTCATGGTAAATGAATCTCTAAGCAGTTGTAAACATTGCAGCGTGCGGCTGCTTAGCTTATATTGAAGGAGCCGACGGCTTTCTCTCTCTGTACTCGTGCTTCCGCAAAGCCATGTCTGGAACTTCTATTATTTGTCACAGGAGGCAGGGGAGCTAGGTAGTCAACCTTTCGTCAAGTGGTCTATTCTCTAGTGCCGCATACCAACCTAAAAACTTCACCACTCACCATGCAAACTCAATGTATGCTTACAACAACGACTTCTAACCTTACCCCTCCTCCCTTATTACTGTGTAAAAGAAGCAATGACATCATCACTGTGCTTTATGTAGCCTTTGCAGAGAGCAGAGCTGTGGGAGTGGCCCAGCAGGCCCACCTATTACAGGCTGCCTGCAGAAAACTATAGGAGGGGGCGTATACAAGACCAGTCACCCTGCACAAGGTGAGAGAGCAGCAGTGACTGGTCTTTATTACCGGAAGCTCCTGCACAGAAGGAAAGTTTCATGCTGGATTACTACGCAGATCTGGAAGAAATACAGAAGATTTAAGCAACAATATGCCTACCTATTGTATTTAGCCAATATTTGCTTATCCTGTAGCTCAGTCTGTGTACTAGCTATAAAGATACACATACGATGAGGTAATTTTGGGTGGAAGCTGAATAACACAAATGTGTTGACTATGAAATGGGAGAACCCAACAGAAACCCACACAAATGCCATGCCTACAGTGTTTCTTGGTGAATTTGAACCCAGGACCCCTTTGCCTACGAGGCGATAGCGCTATGCACCAAGCTGCTTTGCTTCCCAGATTCATTTTCTGTTTCCAAATAACATTTTCGGGTGAATAACAATGTTCCCTTCCACAATTCCTGCTCTGGTGCATTTGAAATAAGGGACAGTTTAGCTAACGGAATGTGAAGGGCTCCGCACCATGCGGCCCACGTCCCATCTCCTGGGGCGCTCCATGCTTTTTAAAGTTTGTTAGCGCCTCAGGCTTCAGCTTCCAGATGTTTGATGCTGAGCCGTATTAGTGCACACATCGGTTACGAGCTCAACAAGCCGGCTTCCTGACAGAACCACTAAATAAAAAACCATGAACCGAACGGGGTTGAGTCATGAGTTTTGTCTAGTTTGTTCAATTCCGTACCAGTGACTCATTCTGTTAATGGTTTCTGAACCTTAATAAATAACGTTTGAGGCTCTGTTGCTCGTCTAGCCCGGACAGCTGTTATGTTTGGGATAATCAGCCGCAATCAAGGTCACCTAAGACTCCTTTTTTTTTTTTTTCCTTCTGCAGAGCTTTTTATATGAAATTGGAGCTTCAGGAAAATTAACAATTGCCCTTTTAATCTACCTATGCATTCATTACATTTTAAATGCAGCTGGTTGAAGAAGTGCTTGACTCTGTCTTGATATATGTGCAGTCGACTACCGCAATTCGTCCAGGTGCTTTCTTTTAACCAGTTGACATCCGCGGTGTTAAACCCCCTTCCCATCCAGGCCATTTTTCAGTATTCAGCGCTGCGGTACTTTGACTGACATTTATTCCGTCATGCAACGCTGTACTGAAATGAATTTTATACCCTTTTTTGGGGACAGATAGAGCTTTCTTTTGGTGGTATTTATTCACCACTATGGGTTTTATTTTTTTACTATATTAAGGAAAAATTACCGATTTTTAAAAAAAAAAACAGTTTCCCCTATATTAAATGATAAAACATTTATTATTACCCAATTTTTTGGTAAAATATAAAAGATGGGG